TTCTTTCATAAACAAGACTTTCACTATCCTCAGTTTCTTTGCTTCAGTTTCTCAGTGTGTGTTTCCCTACTTTTGGAAGAAATCCTGTTTTCTTCTCAGTAACTGCCAGCAATGAAGGATGAAATCAGTTTGAGAAATTATTGATCCTCAAGATGTGGATTCCATTATTCCCATGACAATTCTTTCTACATGGGTTGTCAAAGTCGGAAGGGACAAAAGTACAGTTAGTAGATCTATAATACACAAATGGACAGTCTCACTTCCAAATGAGGTCCCGCACCTCTGACCCTATAGCAGTGACAAGAAGCACCTTAATTTTCACTTTGTGTTCTACAGACAATTCCCCTCCCTGAATTTCCAACAGACAGTTCCTATTTCACAAATTCATCCTGGCCAAGTGGTATCAAGCCAAGAAAATCCATGTTTTCAACTTTGGCAAGAACTGTTCTGCACATGGAATTATAAACAACTGCAGAGCAGAGCAAACAGTGGTATAGGCCCATGCTCCCTCTCCTCTGCCATGTCCCAGGGCTCCCCCAAGTGCTACAGCTGTATCGTGAGCTCATGTTCAAATATGGAGGTGAGCTGAACTCTGCAGACCAATATACCCTTGAATGCACCCATGCAAACCACAGTGAAGTGCAAAATCTGAAGGGGAAAATAAACAAATGAGTTTGTGACCACTGGAAAGGTAATTTATCACTTTGGCATAGTAATTCTTTATAAAAGCTATGGAATAAAAAGTTAAAATAAGAGTGAATGGTAAATAAAATAATCAGAAAATCTGAGATGCACATCTCAAAGATACAGTTTGTAAATCCTACTGAAATTTAGGCATGTACATGGGAAATAGATGTTTAAGTATTTGGCTTTATTGCAGAAATAAGTGTCTTATTTGAGGTTAGTATCTTATTTGAAAAAAGCAAAACAAGATAAAACAAAGCAGCCTCTGCAAACACACTCAAGTGCTAAGTTTTCCTATTCCAAGCACAAATTCTGTCTCTCTATGTGGCCTATCAGACAGAAAGCCTAATTCCTAAGGTGCTCCTCTCTATTTTATCATAGCAGCATTTTTAAGGGATCATCAAGTTCATTCAAATTTTATGGCCTACAATAGGCAATCAATCCACACTCATAGTTGCTTAGTTATGCTTTTACAGCATCTAGAAATGCACATATATTTTTGAATTTTCTCTCAAATGCTCTCCTGGTCACCAGGACAATTCAAAGGGCACTCTACCCAGTCTGCCCAGTAACTGTCAATTCTATAAGGAACACAGCATATATGTACACTGACTTTCATACTTCTAACCAGAGGTATTTTTAAGCATGTCAAACAGTTTTTGTACTTTTCCTATTTTTATGGATAAAGGTTTTGAAAATTTTTATCTAAAGCATTTCCAACTCTTATAAATAAGAGTTGCTGTGCAAAGCTAGTAGAGCTCAATCTTCACAAAAACAAAGATACAGGTATATTACATACCATAGTCAGTGATCTTACAGGATACTAAATACAGCTCTTTCAGGTTCCGGCCTTCTTTGGCAATCACCTCCACACATCTGGAAGACACATACAGTAAAATCACAGTTAATAGACAATAGATCATTTTTAAACAGCAAGATCACAATCCACAAGTGTAATGTACTGTATCTCAATTTCTTCATTTTGTGAATTGTTTGATACAATTCACTGAAAATGCATATGGCTACATGTATACACTGGAGAAAAATATTATTTTACATTAAATGCTTTTATATCAATATTCCCGTAAGTCTTTGAATATGTGAGTTGCTTGAAACATATACAGACAAGTCCTTTGGAAAATAATACAAATGTAAACTTCCATTTCTTTATTCCTGTATAACTTTGGGAAGTATCTACTGCAAGATTAAAGCTTTGAGAGTTTTCTTCTAGGGAAGAACGATAAATGCACTGTAATGAGGACAAAAGATAAGAAAATGCAATTTTAAAGTCATGTTTGTATTTCTTCAGTGATTATTGCAGGACTCAACATTCATCAGGTCATGAAATCCTACATGCCATTGGTGTTCCAATATGTTGCTAGAGAAGCTTGTATAAATGAGAAGACAGCTCATCTGTTTGCCTTGTCACAACTATGATGAATTTGCAGTGAAACACGTAAGTTTTTTTCTGTTAATTTCCTTGTTTGGTTTCTTGTAAGCAAGAATATTAATATGAAAACTAAAATTGTCTTGTAAAATAGGAGCTTATTATATACTTGCGACCAAGTCTATATTAGTTATGTTTACAACTGCATTGTTTACAGTGTATCACTCAAAAATATAGTTAATAAAATATATTTTCCATCTCATTAATATAAAATGCACCACTGTTCATTATATCGGCTAACATGAGTATTGTGCTATTCTCTACGTAGAAACATTTTTAAAAGTGTATTTTATAGGATAAATCATAAGAATTTATTCTGATCTAATATATTCTTCTTTAATTTTCAGATCAATTACCCAATCATCTACTCTGCCTCCTTAAATCAACCCTCCTCCAGTACACAAAATCAAATTACTTGCCAATTTTGAAAAAAATAGGTATTACTGAATTTGTAAATAACTTTTGGAAAATACACCTACATCCTCAGGGACCTTTTTCCTCCACTTACCACCAACAACAGATTATCTCCCAATCTGATTTATCTGTTCATGCTGCCAGTTTTTGATTCTAAAAGCAACCACCTAATTCTTACAGCGTACAGTAACACAATATCTGAATGATAGCCCTTCATATCTATTTGTCCCCTCTCTGCTACCTTCCTCTAAAATCTAGAATGAAAATTCAGTACTACAAATAAAACAGCATGCCTCCGACAAAGTACCATAATCATAGTTCCTTTACCGCTATTACACATTTTCAACCCTTGAAAACTGTGAGAGACTAATATTTAGAAAATTTTTTCAATGCTTGCCATTGGGAAAAGGTTGCCTTACTTTATGAATATACAAAGAAAGGAGAGAAATATTTAACATGGTAACCCCTGACATGGAAGAAAAACAGGGTGAACCTCCAGATTCAATGCTCGTTTAAACCCGCAACTTCTCTGCTAAGAAAATCAGCAAGCATGACAGTTTAATATAAACTAACCTCAGAATTATATATTTTCATCAGGTTATTTTCCTAAAAAACAGCTAAGATTTAGAGCATTAAGCACACTCTACATACATCAAAAATGTCTTCTGTTCCTGTAAGACATGACTTTGAACAAGACAGTCATCTTTGTTAACTGGTTTATCAAGATCAACTAGGCCATAAGAAAGATTTTTTATTATTTATTCCAGAAAAATACTTCCTAATAATGGGATTTTATTGCTAATAGTAGTAATATGAATAAATAGAAAACCATTATCCTGTATTTTATTAGACAGTATGTTCATTAGACATTTCAGCAAATAAGATATAATGGAAAAGTGCATGGACATTGCAGTTAAAAGAAGCTATTATTGATTCTTATCGCATATACCATTTAGCAAAGTATTGAGATTATGAAACACTTCTTACCTTGGATAAAAATTCTGAACTTAGAAAAATATTTTGAAAAATTTATCTAATGACTCTACAAGTTTTCAAATTATTTTTGATAATTTTTACTTATTGAGAGACAATTAATTGATCAAAAATACAATATAGCAATCAGTGTCTAACACCACCACAAGACAGTCAAGATGACATAAAAGACTACCTAATTGTCCCTACAACTTCAGTTGCACAAATTTTCAATCAATCAGTGTCAAATTTGTATTATCTGCACATAGATGTATCTGTATGTGCATCCTTCAGCACCCTTATACAGTTAAATGGCTGTTGGCCGTTTGCTGGCTTCAAACAAAATCGGTTCAGCTGTGAAGAAAGGAAGTTGTAGTTTCTGTCTCCCCTCCCATAAGGCTGCCAGTATATATTTACAAGCTTGTCTTAACAAATAAAGAGAGCTAGAAATTGAGTGTTTGAGAAAAAATTTTAGATGCAGTCAGTCACTTGATTCCAGGAGCAAAGGACTGAAGTATTTGCCTGTGTGGCCTTTATGATTATATATCCTTTAATCCTTCCAGATATTGCCAGCTCTAAGGGTTAAAGTTTTTTCAAGTGGCTTGTGTGACTCCAATCCTGATCTTAGTGACATCTTGGAATCTAAATGAAATACTGTTCACTTTCTCCTAATGGGAAAAGAAAACCTTCACAGTCTTTAGCTATTTCCATTAAACAGAAAAAAAAAGGCAAAAAATGTAGCTTTGACTGCCTTATTTCTTTTTGGTTTTTGAAAATATTAAAAGCACCTAACATCTAAAAGAATGAGGTAATGACACATCTAGTTTGAGAAGAAAAAAATCTAAATGTAGCTGAAATATTGAATTTATAATTTTTTTGTCTGCCTTCTATAGCTTGCATAAGCCAATCTAATGTCAGTTTTAATTTCTATTGTCCTTTCTATAGATCATCCTCATGTAAATCAACTTGCAGAGACAGAAGAAGCATTTTATATGGCCTCATTAGCGTCTGCTCTGTAGAGGGTCACGCAATACATAATTGTTAGCAACAACTGATTTCTCTATAACATAAGAAAAAATAAGAGTAATTGTGTATTTATTACTTTTACCTTTTAATTTTTGTTAAATACGACAGCAAGGAAAAAGGTTAAAAGAACAAAGTGAAATTAACCTTTGCTAGAAAGCAAGAATCAAGTCATGTTAATTCTGTTGTAATAATCCATCCAAATTATATCAGATTATTGCCGTATCTATCTTTGGAAGTCTTTATATTTACAATGTTGCTGAATTAGACAACAAAGAAGCCTAACCTTAAAAAAATAAGCATAATACTGGTAAATAAAAGAAGCGAAGTTATTATCTAAAGCAGTAGCAAATGACAGATGTGAGAAAACCAGATAATTGAGCCCAAAAAAACCTTGGAGACTAACCCCTACCTGTGAGGGAGCTAACGTGATAACTCTTGGACATGGTAACAACAGCTGTGTGCCAAGGCAGAGAGATCTTTTTAAATCTCCTAACCTAAGGCTACTGAACAGGCTTTTATCAGCTCATCCTACAAATTTTAATAATGAAAACACATGCAACATCCAAATGAAGTAGTGAAAGTTACAGGGACACAGATATTTCTTTTACATTTTTCCTCCAAATATATTAAAATATAAACATTCTTCCAGGAAGCAAAGTAATTTTCACACTCAAAATAACTTACTAGCAAAAACGAGACAAGGGTTCATTAGCCAAGGAATAAAGAAATAAGACTATAATTAGAGCTTTGATAATATACAAGTCTGTATCAGAGGTGGTCAAAGCTAAAATCTCTTCACTTCTTACTTTGTAAATGAGTATTACTTAGAACCATGTAAGGCATGAAAATATCAAAACAGAGAACATGAAATACTTATTTTAGGAAGAAGCTGCTTATTCATTAAACCTGAAAATATTATCTAACACATTTTTATGCCAAGCTTTCCCTAGATCTACTCAATATTTTATGAATGCTGTTCTCTGACAGACTGATATGCAATTCAGTTTTATTGCATTTGATTCTAAAAGTAAGAATAATATCACACACTATGAAATTCACAGTGCAATCAGGAACAAGAAGATGAAGAGCAGAAATTAATTTCACATAAACAAGCCAATCAAACAATATTTCAGAAACCAAGAATATAACTACAAACTTACCTATCTACTGTTAATACAAAATAGTTAAAAGACCACAGATGTTTGCAAGACAACTAGAGCTTGCTCAGCACCGTGATGTTGAACACATCAACATTCCAACATCCCAAAGTTCATTATGTTCAGAGACTAACAAACCTAAGATTGCCTCTTACTGTTATAATTTCTAAAAATGGCTTCCTATTTGAAAAGCTAAACAAACCTCAAGAAGAAAAGGATATAACTGTAATGCTGCTAAAATTCCAGCAATTAATATCAGGAAAAAACTCGTAATCTGGGTTACAGAATATATGGAAATTTTTCTGCTAACATGTACTTGCATATACTGCTCTTCCCACCTGGTCTGAATACATGACCAGAAAAATTACTTAAATGTACAAAGATTTACTGGTGCAAAGCTTCTCTGCAAACAAGTCTCTTCTTCAAAAGTAACAAAACTGCATGACTGAGACATAGATATGTCTACTGATAACTTCAAATTTAGGCCCATCATCTTGACGGCTCCCACATATAAATCTGTGCAATGAATTCACAAAGCCAAGGTTTCTCACTTTCCATGATGCAATGCAAAATCTAAGAGCTTAAAAATAATAATAAAAAAAGACAAATTAGAAAATAAGTCATTCAAAACCCTGTAATTTTCTTCTCTTAGCCAACTGATCCCTATGTTCTTCGACTTAAATGAAAGCCTAAGGTTAATGAATTAAACTGTGCAAGCTTCTACCTGTAAGAAAAGATACAAAAGATTCCTTGAGTTATAGAAAATAATTGTCTTTTCTATATACATACACAGCTTTTACGGTTTTGGTCTAATTCTAAAAACATTGGAAAATCATATTTGTGACACCGAAAGGAACTAA